TTCAAAGGCTTTCCATTGTGTAAAGCAGTGATTGACAAACAAGAATGCGCAGGATGATAACCTCCTGGTTGCAACAGAGAAAAAGGAATGGGGGTAGAATTTGAGCTGAAATAGCTAGCATTTTGTTAGAAGTAAAAAAGACCTAAAGGAAATGAGGCATATATGAACAGACATTAAAGCTGGCTAATAGGAAAACTGGGACCTGTTAGACCATTTTCTTTACTTCTATGCAGTTGAAATAGTCACAATTGGTTTATTGTCTTAAGCACAAGTCTGTTTGGGCACTTGTTAAAACAAAGATCTGGTGGAACTGTGTCGCGATATTCTAGCTCAGCAGAGCTGCAGTAGAGTCGTCCACTTGACTCAGATGCGGGCAGACGAAGGTTACACTTAAAGAAGCAGCTTGGCTTCTGAGCTTCTAATTCATCCCAGGCCCTGGCAATATCTGCTTGGTTTTGATAGCCACAGGAACAATCCAACACCATGGCCACAAAGTTCCTCAGTTCTCAGACTGCCTCTGACTGTGCCTCTGGATTGCCTTTATGCCTGCTCTCTCCGCAAACGGACCTGGGATTTTCAAATCCTTTCTGCTTTGCTAGCTGGCATGGTGTTAAGTTTTACCACTGACAGATGAAGGAGAAATAACGCAGAAAGAAGGGCTTTTACTTCCGGTTTCCTCATGTGGAGCGGTTTTTTAATAAAGAAAGGGAGAAAAAAAAGAGCAATGGGGGGGTGCTGGAGAGATGGCTCAGAGGTTAAGAGTGCCAACTGCTCTTCCAGAGGTCCTGAGTTCAATTCCCAGCAACCACATGGTGGCTCACAACCATCTGTAATGAGATCTGGTGCCCTCTTCTGGCCTGTAGGCATACATGCAGGCAGAATACTATATACATAATAAATAAATAAAAATCTTTAAAAAAAAAAAAAGCAAAATTTTACGGACAGTGACTAGAGTGGTGATAAAGTTTTCCTTTCTCCGTAGATAAAGAGAAAAGGGGGGAAATTTTTGTGTTGTGCTAAATATGGGCGCGTCGATCTCGCACCCAATTTTTGTGGCCCTAAATGAGTTGCTTCACTCGAAAGGCTTAAAACTAAAACGAAGCACCCTAGATAATTTTTTAGAGCAGGTGGACATAATAGCCCCCTGGTTTGCAAACACTGGACAGCTTACAATCCCTTCATGGGAAAAATTGGTGAGGCTATTGGACCACTGAGAAAGGAATTTCCTACTTTAGGATGTCTTCATTATATGGATGACATATTAATGGCTGCTAAGGAAGAAAAAATGTTAGAGAAGGCCTATGTAAAATTAGTAAAGTTGCTTGAAAGGAAAAAGGCTATTTATTGCCCCTGAAAAGGTTCAGAAAGAAAAAATTGTAAACTATTTGGGAACAAAGATTAGTGAGAACCGTATTATTCCACAAAAGGTAGAATTGAGAAAGGACAATTTGAAGACCCTAAATGATTTTCAAAAATTATTAGGAGATATAAATTGGATTAGGTGTTATTTGAAGCTACCGAATTATGAGTTGAAACCTTTGTATAATGTGTTGAATGGGGACTTAGCTCTAGATTCCCCTAGACAATTGACTTCTGAAGCACGAAATGCCCTACAGAAGGTAGAGGAAAGATTACAAAGTGCTTTTCTTCAGAGGTGTAAAGAAGGACAAGCCATCACTATGTGTATTCTTCCTACATATTATCAACCTGCAGGCTTGCTTTGGCTCTGAAGCAAGAAATGCCCTACAGAAGGTAGAGGAAAGATTACAAAGTGCTTTTCTTCAGAGGTGTAAAGAAGGACAAGCCATCACTATGTGTATTCTTCCTACATATTATCAACCTGCAGGCTTGCTTTGGCAGGAGGGGCCGCTGCTATGGATATACCCTAAAATATCTCCTGCTAAATCCATTGAGTATTATCCCACTGCAGTGGCAAAATTGGCATTAAACGGGATCCAGCAATGCTTACAATATGTTGGCATAGCCCCCAATATGATTGTGGTGCCTTATTCCAGTCATCAAGTTAATATTCTTTGCGCCACAATTGATGATTGGGCCATCCTGCAGTGTGGATTTGATGGAGATATAGACAATCATTATCCTAAACATCCATTATTGGTTTTTTTTTAGGGAACATCCCGTGATATTTCCAAGGATAACCTCATCTCAACCAATTGTGGAAGCCCTGAATGTGTTTACTGATGGTTCTAAGACAGGTTGTGGAGCCTATATGATTAAGGGGCATAAGCCTGTGTTACACCAATTTCAACCTGGCTCCCCTCAGATTGTGGAAAAATAGTATTAGAAGTTTTTAAGGCCTGTCCTGTTGCCTTTAATTTACTCTCAGATTCGGCTTATGTTGTTAATGCTGTTAAGACATTGGAAGTGGCTGGGCCTATAAAGAGTGCCAGTCCAGCTTGCCTTTTATTTCAACAACTTCAAAATTTAATTTGGCAAAGAAAAGCTTGC